GGCTGAACACTCTTCTCTTTGGCTTCTTCTGCTAGTTGGGGTTTAGTCCACTTCTATATCCTTCCCTTCAAGGCTCAGGGGTCCAGGATTATTTTCTGTGCCTGTGTTAATTGGTTTCCCTTTTCTTTGTTGAAGAGAGTTTGTGCAGTCTTTCTGCCTAGTCTGCCATCTTGCCAGATCTCCTCAGCCCATTTTTAAAGATCAACTGTTGATAGATTTACTTCTGGGTTCTCAATTTTGTTCCATTGATCTGTACCAATATCAGGTTGTTTTGATAACCATGGCTGTATAGTAGTTTTGAGATTGGGAGGAGTGAGTGGCCTCCTTCTTTTTCTTCCTCAGTAGTCCTTTGCTTATCTGGGGTCTCTTTTGATATAAATTTGGTGATTAATTTTTCCATTTCTTTAAAGAATGATGATGGAATGTGGATTGGGATTGCATTATATCTGTAATTTTTTTTGAGTAGTATTGATGGGACTTGTACTCTTTTTATTTTATTTTAAGAGTTACATGTACATTTAGTTTCACTCCCCATTTACCATGCTCAACCCTAACCCAGACTCCTCCCCTTCCTGCCTAGTAACCTTCCCCCTATGCCCCTCATAGTTATGCACTTCTGTTTGTCCTGCATTTCCTCCATGTGAATGTTGCCCCTCTGGTGCCCCGTGGTCTATTGCTCTAAGGGATGTATTTCCATAGAGTATGTGGGTGTGTCACTCTGAGTTGAGTGGTAGGACCTGCACTCTTGATGGTGAATTGTTCTTGGAAAGGTACCTAACAGAATTTGCCTCCTTTTTATCCATATTTTTTTTCCTTGGGCCACTTGTTCTCTTAGTTATTATCCAAACTGGAATTTGATATTTTGCTTTTTGGGATTAGAGTGGGAATCTCTGTCACGTAACATTTTTGGTCATGTTTCAGATCCATTGTTCCTTTTGTCTGACTTCTCAAAAAAATGCATGTGAGAATGTGTGTGTGTAACACAAAAGTATGTAAGAAAATAAAAAAAGTATGACTCCCTTTTTAGTTTGTATATAGTGATATTTACTGATAATAAGTTTTATTCAGAAGACAAAGAAAACAGTGTTATTATTGAGTAAACACTAAACCAGAATGCATCACAGGTAGTGGCAGTCCCCAAGTTACCAATGTCTGACTTAAGTACAACTGGTAATTACCCTCCAACCCCTGTATGTCTTTCCTTGAGCACAACCCACAGACCTTGCACAGCAAGAAGCCCAATGGTGTCCTTACTCATTCAGCAGCAGCTGGCAGGCACTCCCTATACCTACTGGGCCCTGGACCCTGCTGTGCACACCTCGAACAGAGCCTGGGAGGCTATAGTGGTGCCTCCACTGTGACCCCGGAGCCAGTACAGCTCTACTTGGGGCTAGCAGGGGCCTTGGATGTAGCAGGAGTCTGCAGGGTGCAGGTACTGACCCAGCTTCAGTATGCAGCACCCTGTCGGGCACC